ATTTAATTGTTTGTTATATTAACCTTTTTGCCTTTACTCTTGTCTTTGATGATATCTGTATTTATTTCAACTTCTATTTCTTCGTCATCTGAATCTGGGAAGTGTGGAGGACAACCAAATGTTTGAATCTCCCATTTTAATTTATCTGCACATGCTTTGATAGGCATACCCGTGCAATGGAAACCAAATGGAAACAAGACTTGTTTACCTTTTAAACGTTGATATCTAACTGCAAACTAAAAACAAGACATTTGACATTAATTTTATGTTTTTTTCTCATTATGAGGACACAGAAAAAATCATACCTCGCATTTTGAAAGGGAAAATGTGTGTCCCAAATGAAGTCTACCATTCATGTATGGAAAAGGAAATGTAGCCAAATATTTTTCATCATCATTCCTCTTGGTATTCTTAGACGGTGGTGCATTGATTTCATGTATCTTCTGTTCATGCCATTGACGTTGGATCTCTTTTTCAATCTGTCGCAGATACTCTACTTTAACAGTACCTTTGCGGGTTTCGGTCTACAACATTTACAAAACGTCTAGTTACAAAAACGAAAAAAAGTTCAATAATTGCATAATAAAAACATACCATGATTGATTAGACAAACGTTGTAAGTTCTATATTATAGGAGTAGAAAACTTGCTGGTTGCACAAGTTTCAATAATTTTCAAATTGATATTGTTTTAATAATCGAATTTACACAGTCAAAGTCTGTACGAGTGTACGTCTCGCGAGTAAACGACGTCAGAAACACGGGACGTCCCGCTAACATGCACGTTGTCAAGTACAAACGCTCAGAATTTGATAGTCTGATATAAACGTGATAATTGATAATGATAACACAATCGATTAGTGATAAGCTGATGACAATAGTCAACCATAGGATAAATTTAATAATGATTTCAACGCAAGCAGACAATGAAAAGTATTAACAAAAATAAATAAAATACATTTTAACAATACATTTATCCGTGGACTGTGATGGGTAGACGTCTTGTCGTCTGATCTCATGTTAAGAGTTTCTTTCACGGTTGTAATTAATTCTAACTACAAGTTATAGCCGTGGTTTAATTTAAGTTTTAAAAATAAAAATCATTGTCTACCATTAAATGTTTTGAGGACACAGAATGTAAACCTCATAGTTGTATTAAATGTTAATACTGTAACTTATACAGCCTTAGGAATTTTTATTAGTTTTCTATTGGAAATTCTTTGTCCAACTGACAGTTCAGTAAAAATGATCGATAATAGTTGAATTGAACTCGGATTTCGGAGGTTCGAATTTACCAATACTATTTACGTAAAATTAGGGATATTTTTTTGTTATGAGTAAACTCAGGCCAGAAATGGGCCACTGTGCTACTGTTCTACAAGACAGTTGGCTGCATTCCTCAATTTTGTAATATACTACTTGATTTTTTTTAAACAATTTTTAATTAATGAGCAAAAAAAAAAGGTATTTTTTTTTTATATTGTACCTATGGGTGCCTCCTTATTGAGAATAGTAGGCCGATATCCTCCCAGTCCCGGCATGTGTAAACTAATTATTATTTTTTAGAGAATACTTTTTCCTACTCGATCGTTAGTATTGTACATCATAAATTAATATTGTAAAATAAATATGAATATGTTACGGGGCTGTAAGTATTCGTATAAATGCTTGATTTATGAAACGTATAATATTTTACTTAATTGGTAATATGTTCAGGCAGATTGCTCAAAAAAATTTTATAAGCCTAATATTTATCAAGGTAATAAATTATAAATCAACTTTTTATAATTATCTTTAATTTTAAATACTTACAAATTTACAAATAATCGATGAAATATAAATAAAAAAAGCATTAAATGCATACATATACTCGAAATTCAAAACAAAAAAAAATATATGTTAATAGGTGGTACTGATGGTATAATATTATACATATTTATATACCATTGGTAATTGAATATTGGCGCCTGAAGGGTCGTAAATAAGCATATTAACAAGGATATGAATAAAATATTAGTTAAAAATTATTATGATAATTAGTATTTATTTTTTTCCAAATAATACTGTTAATAATCACATTTTATTGAAATATCGACATAAATAATAATAATAATAATATTTCAACTGTTAGAGGTTTAACTAGATTAATGAGACTTATGAGACTGTCACCAATGTTCATCGATATTTAAAACATTAATATAACAATAACATGTAATTATTTTATTTTCAATTTTTTTTTCCTAGAAATTGGGACTAATACTCAGTTCAATTTATACGTACGTTTTAAAATATTATATTAATTATAACAGTCGAGTGTTACTGCTGGGTAGCTATTCCTTTCACGATTTCACTGCCAACTGTAATTTTCAGCTCATATGATTATTGTAGCACTATTACAGATTGTATATATTCGAATAAATGTTAAAAAAAAAAAAAATTATAATTATTAACATATTTAATAAATTTTATGAACGTATAGTGCAAATACGCTATTCCTTGTATTTTTGACGCATATATTATATGTACACCTATTCATATTTATAATATTATATATAGTTAATATTAATTTATAAATACATTATAATATAGCAAATTGTTTTATTTGAAAGACCACATACATTTTTAATTTCATATATTCTGAAGCAGCATATATTTTTACAAGAACTTTGATTTTTAAAAATTAAATTTTAAACGCGTATAACCATTAAAAATATCAAAAAATGTAGATGGATATAGAGTGATATAGAAGTATACTCAACAAAATATTGGTCAGGTACTAGGTTTATTTAAATTTGAACAAACGCTGTTAATAAATTACATTTTCAATTTCATACATCAAAATTCTCGAAAAATACTTTAAAATAAATAAGTCCGAAAGGTAATACGTTTATATAAAGGTACCTACTGAAGAGGATTAAATATTCGCACTCTTAGACATTAGTACTCCATATTAATAAAGGTACTTGTGTATAAAAATAGTAAATACATCTTAAGAATATTATCAAGAAACATATACCTTTCACCATAATTATGTGTAATTAAGAAAAATAACATATAAATAATTTTAAGTTATACGCTTCTTTTCATTAATATGTACAAGAGTGAGTGTATTTATCTTCAATTAAGTAGATAGGTAATCTTAATTTATACTTATTTAAAAAAAAATGAAAATATCAGTTTAAGCCATGTAATCATCTGATATATAGTTATGAAGTGATAGAACTGAAAGATGAATTAGTTTGCAGTGTCAAAATTGGTGACCCAATTCCAAAATGTCAATTAATTTCCTCGATTTGATTCTATATACAGTTGAGACGTATAGTTAAATAGATAGGTAATCATAGTTAAAATAACTTTTGAATAACGAGCCAAGACTTATGATATCGAATAACTTAATAGCAGTAATCAGTTAAAATGTAATACCTATATCGTGTATTATATAGACGTCTAGTTTTCGTATTGTTGGGTATTCGTAACCGATTGCAGTGTACGGTGTAATCTAATTGGTAATTTGGGGTAAACGCCATTAATAATTGTAATTGATAATAATGAAATTATAATAATACTGTATATTACAGCCTATAGGTAATATACCTATTTTAAACAATTATAAAATAATAACTAATAAGATGGGAATGCAATTTTTTAGATTTTGAGCGGATTGATGAATGTATTATATAGAAATATAACTTTCTTATGTCTATTATAATTTTTTAAGAAAAGTGAAAATGATTTAATCTTCAACTTTAAAGTATTTTGGGTAAAATATTCGGGAAAAACAGAAATATTTGCAAGCATTATTAAAAGTTTTCGAAAAAATATTGTATTTGTTATAGTTTAGAAATGAATAATTTTAGAGATTTAAATTTAGACTTAATATTAATATTATAGTTTTTATTGTTTAACTATGAAAATTAATAATAAAATAGTGATTATGCTTGATTTTTTTTCCAGTGTCTTCCCAATCTAAAGAATCACGTCCCATCGCTGGTGTAATTGGAAATTGTTTTGGATATCATGAATATAATAATATAACCAATTATATAGTCCAATTATTTTACAAAATTAATTACAATTTTCTTGGTATTTTTATTTACATGTCATCAATTACGTTCCCTGATTTAATGTTAATATTTTTAGGTACAGCTATAATAGTACTTAAAGTTTATCCATTTTGACATAATATTCTGAAAATAAATACAAATAATACAGTTTTTTAAATTTTTATAATATCAAGCAATATTTTTGTAATTATCATTTTCATCATTATTTATGATCCAAGTGCAAAAAAGTTCATGGCAGATAAAAAAAACAAATTAATTCAGAGGATCTAACTCCCTCGGCCAACGACGAAATGCTCATGTATTAAGGATACATAGAAATATAAACATAATTGGTGGAAGCACCTCCCTGACGAATTGGCACTATAGTAGTGCTAGTAGCTACTACTACTATCTTGTCTAAACCATTTATAAATATAATAAATTATAATTGATACAACTTATCAATAAATTACTCACAAATTATATATTTTGGCTATTTTGCTCTAGAGTATAAAGTTCTTTATGAAATATATGCTGACATCAAAAACTGGTTTTATTTTTTTCCAGTTATTTAAAATATACTTGGGATTTTTTACTTTGGCTTTCCCCCACCCCAAGTATCAACTAGAAACCATAATTTGAAAATCAAATCGTTTTGAGCTTTAAAGTGATGACAGACATATAAAAATAAAAAACATACCTCATTGTAAAATTAATGTATTCATTACTTTGTTTAAAATTTAAAATATATTTATTAATTTATAATACAATGATTATTTTACTCACGAATCACGATCCTGAATTTCTGTATACACCAGGTGTACCTATGACGTATTGACGAACTAAATTTATTTTTATTGAATTATCGTAATTCATAATAATAATAAATAATAATACATTCATATAATTCGAAATAGCCATAGATTTTTATTTTTATTATTATAATATTATAATGACCATTAAATAACACTAAACAATAATTCATTCATTGTATCTATTATAACATATGATTTCAAAATAAAATATCGTAGGTAGGTATCAAATATTCTGTTTTACAGCTGTCTGCTGTATACTATTGCACTACTAGCTAAATCACGAAATTGTTTTAAGAAAAGTAAAATAAATTTTAAAGTACACAACACAATATTACATTAGATTGTCATCTTCATCACCAAAGTTTTTGCTTTTCATTTCAATTAAAGTTTTTATGATTGCTGGTGTATCTGAAAAAAAAATGAACAAATAATTATTAATTCCATTGACATTTTATTATTATATATATTTTCAATATTATATAATTATATTTCAAAGAGTATTCATTAGGCTTTTTTATTATCAGAATATATGTACATATATATAAGAATATATAATCCTTCTTAAAATTATTAATTGTGATTAATTAATATAATTTAGTAATAGAAAAATAAATAACATAGATATTAGTTGTTTTTAATGTTAGAAACTGTCGTATCGCCAACGATTGTAAGTTAATTTCAAAAATTATTTGATTACATACTGTACCAGAATCTAAGTACGATGTATCATAATTTTCTGGTACCACGGCTGATCGTCCTAACCTAGGACCAAACCAGAGAGCTGTGTTCTTCGAATCACTCCTTCTGCCAATCCTGGGAAAAGGAATAAGTCCTTCTCTTTTGTGACTTCTTAGTTCTTGTTGGGTATCGTCTAAAAGATACGTAACAGTTATTGTTTAACCAGTAACCAAAAAATTAATATAGTATATCAAGTGGAATTAATAACACATACACAAATTGTCCATTTGTAGAGCAGATTCGATACCTGACCTCCCGACTCTGGGAAACGGTATCAATCCTGCAACAGATTCCCTTCTATCTCTGTTATTGTCTCGTTTATACTCGTCACTGTATTCTGAACCTAAAAAAAATCAATGAAACGTTAATAAAACATAAATATTGATTTGAAATGACGTAACCAAAATATTATCAATACAATAAAATGTTTACTATTAGAGATATCATGAAAAATAATTTTTGATAATTATTATATAAAATATGGAAAATATTAAATTGTATTTCATATACTCGTATTTTAATTTGATCTCAAAAGTAGCTTATACATTTAAAAATAATATACTGAAAAAAGTTATTAATTTACCAAAGATCAATAAATTATTTGTACACGGTTTTGGTGCAGTTTATAGCATTCATTCATTTATTATAGATAGAGCATGGATTTTTTGCACTAAAAAGTATCAAAATATGCAAGAAAATTTTTTTTTATTTATATAACATTTATAAATTAAACAACTTACAATAATTAATTATTTAAATAAACTAAGTATATAACATTTTTTTCGTTTTAGTATGCAATATATTTCGAATTTTGTAGAAATATACAAAAATATGCAATAACCATTAAATATGCTGAAATATGCGAAAAAAAAAAAATTCACCATTAAATTCAAATTGTTATGACTCGTGAAGATAACTGACAAAAATCCAAAAAAGTAAAAGGGAAAAAAATATGCAATTACATAGAAATCCATGCTCTAGTTATAGATAAGTCGATATACCAAACATTCTAATCGTTTAGCAATACATTCTTTCAAATTTTTAAGTTTACTTAAATGCTTAAATTTTTTTTATGCTATTTAAAGAGCATCTATGTTGATACTAACTTATTTTTTTCCAACGAAAACTACTTTTTAGCTGCCAATTTATTCTTTACTAAATTATTATTTTCTAAATCAAAATTCAAAGGTTAGATTTATAGTTATTAATAGAACTAGACAATAAGTTATGTTACACAGAGTAAATATTTTTTACTAATTAATTACACCAAAAAATCCAAAATTAGATTTTTTGCATCAAATTACTTCAAAAATATTTTCTTCAGAATAAGGAGATAAAAATGTATATTGTAATTAAAAAAGTAAATAATTTACCTTTTTTCAGAAAAAATGTTGATTTAACGACTTAAAAGTATATATAAAAAAAAAATAAATATATTTTCTAAAACGTTAACAGTTATTGAAATAATGAGTGCCGTACGTTAAATAGATTATTGTGTATAATCTTAAAATTTATTATTTTTTCAGTTTGACTTAAAATTTAATAATTTTCTCTGTAAAAAGCTTGAAATTCTACTTAATAAAATTGTATGCCGACAAGATATCATGGTACCTTTACATAATATAATAAGGTCGTGCGCATAAAAATATTTATATAATATTTTATATATTCATCTAACAGGTAAATACGTTAAACTAGTTAAGAGTGTAGCATAATATAATTAAATGTTATACATCATACACCATAACTTTGAGTGTTAGAATGGTAAACAGTAAAATAGGGAAACCAAAGAAAACACGTACCGGCCCGGTGTTCAAATTAAACAAAAGGGCATGCACATAATATTGTGTGTTATTATGTTATTATATTGTTATAAATATTATTATGCGATTCGGATGACAGTAAAGATTCGTGTCGAACGTTAATTTAATAATTTTAAAATTTTTTTTTTACTCGCCTACTAATTTAGTTAGTTTTCTGGTCAGCGTGATTTTACGTGGTTATAATATTATTATATGCTTAATAAATGCGTTTTTTTTTTAATAATAACCTGAAAAATACGCAAATAATGAATAATAATATACTGGCACTCGGCAGCACCACATCAACATTTTAAACACGTAACGTATTATCCGGTTAGAATATATACAATGCACCAAATACATATTATATAAATACAAGGCTTTGAGTTTAAAGTGGAAGTTCTCTGTCATTTCTATTTTGCAGGATGCTGCGTACAAAATGCGTCCAATTGACATTTTTTTGTTTCATTTTTGAGAATTTCGTTTTAATATAAAAATCGAATTTTGAATGAGAGTAGTAGTACAAACCCACTATGTACTAGAACTAAATAGTAATATATACCTAATATATAAATAGTATTTATACCTATACCTCAAACTTACTCCTTAAACTTCACCATTTTCTGTAGTCATCAGAACAGAATTTTTATTTCTCCAGGATAGTTTTCCCTACTGGTCCCATTATAATTTCAGTAGGTAAATTCGAAAGTATAAAAATGTATAGTATTTATTTACGTACGGAATATTATATTTTCGTGTAATAAATCAATAACTATGAGATTAATTTTTATAAAAACCTTAGGTTTGTATTTATTAGACTTTGATAATTTTGGTCACAACATTGTTAATTTATAAACCGTTTATGAATACCTATAATATGGCTAATAACACCGCCAATGAGCCCAGACCATTAAAGGTATTAATATTACTTATATAGTTACATATCGTATATTATTACACTAAACTTGGTCAAGACTAAATTAATGATAGGTCAAACGCGGAAAACTCTTTTAGGTATTGGCTCAAAAATGTAGTAAAAATCTTAACACTTATAATATACCGTAGACTCGAATAATTGTGTGTAGGGCGGTATTCTATCATACTTTTTTTTTTTATTGTGAGTGATTCATACAAATATACAATAATATATGTACTAATAAATAATAATAAATTTTGCTACATACATATAGTTTGTTTAAATCAACTTCTGTTTTAATTAATTGTTATATAATTATTATGTGTTTTACAAGCATATAAAGTTGTTTTAATATTACTCGCATGTAAAAATTATACACACTGCTGACGATTAATACGAATTGCAATTATAATATTGCTGGGAAGTGGGAATAGTGACACTCAATAAATTAATTCATGTAGGTAATATAAATTATTGCACAGAATAAAAGTTTATCAAATTAGTCGATATATAAACCTGCAGGCCTAATTATGTTGGAATCGACGGAATTTCGCAATTTTTCTCCATTCTAACGAGATGGAAAAAATCATATTCGAACAAATTGTATGTCTAAATTTTATATTCATGAATAAATAATAATTATAATTGGTTGAATGTGGCAATGTGCTTTAAAAATAATAAACTTATGTTTTTATAACTATTTGTGTTTTACATTCGGCTTTTTTTTTGTGTGTATGCCTGTCTCATTGCCTTTTGATCAGTAAAAATGATTTAATTAATTTTCAACAACGAGGATTCAGATTTCTAACAATAAATTGAATCTAAATAGAGATCAAAATATTTCTCGTACTTTCTATGATAATTGTGAAAACCAAAAAAAAAAAAAAAATGTTTATCAAAAATAAATATATAATATTTATATTAGTATTTTATAGACATAATGTTTTTCATGATATTTTGGAATTTCTATGTTATTTAAAGTAAGTCCAGTTTTCAACAAATTCTTACTTTTTTTAAGTTGTAGGATAAAAAGTTTAAGTTGAGTATAAAAGAAAATAATAATTAAAATATAAGTACAATATACATAATACATGTTTAATGGCGAGTTTTAAATATAGCGATAATTAATAATAGTGATTATAAATTATTATTAGTGAAACCTTTACTGTCTACTGTCTAGTACCTTCAAGCGTGTAAACTACTATAGATACAACCCCGTCGAAAATACATACGAGCATCGACAGTAAATATTAAATAGGTATTAAATTATGCCAAAATTTTGTTTTTATAAATAGATAATGCAGTGAATTGATAAAACAATAATCAACCATGTTGTGTATATACTAAGAAACTAATGAAAACTAATTCGACGGAAATTATGTAGTAAAATTATTATTACATAATAAATCGATTTCTATAAAAAAAATCAATATATTTTTCTTATATTAAAATTTTATTAGTTCTATTATTGATTTTTAGTAAAATATCTGGGCTGCAATAACAATATGGTTATCACAGTCACAATGTAATTTCTGGGGCTCCAATGAAATCCCTCGTAACTTTTAAATTACGCTACCGTTATAGTTCACAAATTATGACGTGTATATGTTTCCGTTAGAATAAGAAATCTGTTATTTTGTAATTTAACGATTAGTTTTAGTTAAAGGTTTTTACAAATAAATTCAATTAATATTATATACATAGAAATTGTATAGATATTATAGGTTATTCCCGATAGTATAAATTATATCCCTGAGGTTTTAAATGCATAAAAAAAAATTGAGGATTTCAGTAAAATAAGGTTAATACACAAAAGTTTAAAAACATAAAAATACCTACAAAAATGTCTATATAATTTAATTTATTGAAAATATTTTATAAAATGAGTTAAACTATTAATTGTCTAAACTTTAAATGTAAAATAGTGAAATACCTACTGTTTATTATCACAAGATAGATTTTGCAGTTAATATTTTGAATTATATTTTAATACACTACCCTTGAATATAATAGTTTTATGGACGTGAATAGTCGAAATGTTCATACATTAGTTATGATATGTCTATGCGTATTATTTTATTAATTAATAAGTGTTGAAGAGTAAATTATTTTAGTTTTATTAAATAAAATAATTAGCTTATTCGTTGTATTCTTAATCGATAACGTAAGCAACACTAACTAGTTCACATGCCGCAGGAATTTAATTTTATTCTAACTACTTCCAATGTACACATTATAACTGGACAATGACGGAAAATTTATAAAATGTTTAGGTAATTTATATGGGTTACCGTCTTTAAAGTCTTTATAGTGTTTAAAAGACCTTCTGATATTTCTTAAAATAATACAATTTCATATTTTAACGACAACACATATATGGTCTTTCGATTTTGATGTGACAATATAACATTATTGACAGGGTTTGCATAAGAACTTAACGTAATTCCTACCAATTTTTTTTACGAAAAACATAAAAAAGACTCGCTACGCATACAAAATTGATGTATGTATAGAAAGGTTAGAAAAGTGTATCTATATAATAATAATATCGTTATAATATATTATAAATAAACGTAGTGGCTTAGTGTGTATACTGCAACAAAAACAATAATGGTAATAACAATG